TATGGAGACAAATACTAATGTTGAGCACTAACTCTAAAAACAAACACGACTTGGGCCGAGTATTTTGCGTCCACAGCACGGCGGCCAAACCCAAGGGCTGCTCTGGAAATCGAAACATCTCGGGCCTAGAAAAACCAACCAGAAGAAATCAATCCTTTGCGGCAAAACATCGCAGCCGGCTGCAAAACAGCCAGTGCTCACGCTCGAGAGGAGTCAAGAGGCTGGCTTATTCAGAAAACAGCTTGAAAAAACACACACACAAAAAAAAAATCTCTGCAATATCATGATGCATAATTTACACAGAGAGCTCCACTTACGCCAGAACACACACAAGCGCCATCAATATTTTAAACACTGAGCACCAAACAGGCTGTCAAAAGCAAGTCAGCAAGTTCCTTCTCCTTCTCTCCTGGAGAGAAAGCAACCAGGCTCGACAGGAATCAGGACGAGCCCTTTTAGGAAAGATCTTCCCCGAGACCAGAGACTAACTCTGCCACGTATTTTACTGGAAGCATAAGATGTGGCCGGAGCAAACCAGGTGGCCTCAGCCAACCAACCAACAAAAAAAAAATCAGCTGGCTGCCTCTGCACGTGACTAATTTGAAAAAAGAATAATTTCGTAATACCAACATGAGGCTGTATATGTTTATTCATCGTCAGTAATTTTTGTACACAAGGCAAATATTAATAGCTGAAAGGCAACACTTCTGGAGAGTATGTACAGAGCAATGTACAAGCGAGCATAAGAGGTTTTGAACTATTAATCAATTTAACCGTTTTATAAAAAGGAAGTGGCGCTTTTCCATCTAAGACCTCCCTTAGAAATAATTTATTGCCAATTTTAAACTAAAGTAAGGAGAAAAAAAATTTACAATAAAAAGTAGTCCCTGGAAAGTTTATAAAAAGTTAAACATATAAAATTGTAAGCCACAAACATTTATACAAAGCTAATACAAATCTTGGTTTTGTTAAAGATCTATGAGGTTGTTACAAAATACATTTTTACATAAAGGCTCCACGTAAGGTAAGCTCTCACTGCTACTGGAAGCGCAGGAAAGCGGTTTTAAATAGTCTGCAATTCAACTTATTTTCAAGTACAATGCAAAGAAATTGCAAAATGGCACTGTATTGCAATGCTGTGTAATTAAAAAAACCCCAAAACAACAAACCCAAAACAACTATGTTAATGGTACCATCGAATAGCCGAGACCTGTAAAGTTAACTCGTGAACCATCGGGTACGGCCTGAAACTTCTGATCCTTTTGAAACAGGAAATGGTATTGTTGGAAAACGAACCTTCTGCAACCGTCCTTCAAAAGAAATAACCGAAGAAGTCTTCCGAGGGCCAGGGACACGCCGACCGTGCACAGCTCCCCGTCGATCTGCAGGGAGGGGCTCCCGACCCCGGCGAGCAGACGTGGGTTGCCCGAGCTACCCGGGACCGACCGTAAATCCCTTTAACTGGCCAAGCGTCAGGAAGCTTCAAACACCCACCCGATCTGAGCGCTGTGCTGGGAGTCATTCTGATGGGCAACATTTAAAGCTACTTCCTAGACAAATGAGTCCAACATACAGCCTTTGAGATCAATGAACCCACCTGACGTTTTTCTTTTTAAGAGCAGATACTCTAGAAGAAAGCTTAAGTTTTACACAAACAGATGGCTTACGCTCCCATATACTATATATATATATATAAAAAGAAGTAAAATTTTTAAAGCCCTGATGAACAGCCACAGTTTTCAGGTATCGATCAACTCCGCTGAACACACTGCAGCAGGGAACAGTCGCTGAACCCACCTGACGTTTTTCTTTTTAAGAGCAGATACTCTAGAAGAAAGCTTAAGTTTTACACAAACAGATGGCTTACGCTCCCATATACTATATATATATATATAAAAAGAAGTAAAATTTTTAAAGCCCTGATGAACAGCCACAGTTTTCAGGTATCGATCAACTCCGCTGAACACACTGCAGCAGGGAACAGTCGCTACAACACCAATTTCACCTTCAAGTACAGGAAGGCTGGACAAGACAGTGGTATATCTCCATATGGTCAGTGATCTTTTTTAACATCGAAGAGAACTACAAAAGTTTTGGGAGATGCGATTTTTCTACCTGTTTTCCCACCTTCACTAGAAATCCGTCCTGACCTTGTACCACAGACTGGTTCACATGGACAAGCTTGACTCTTACTTGACAACCGTGACCCAGTTGGTTCACTTCAGGATAGAAATCGGTCGGTTCAAAACATCGACCCTCCAGCTCCTGTACCAAAAATTGTATCCTGCTATAAAGAAATAATATTTAAAAACAAATCTAAAAAGAACTACGACAGTACACGCCGTGCTCTGTTTCAGGTAGCTAACGAAGAGTGAGGCTGAAGCTGGAAAAGCCCCACGCTGAGTCGGTTTGCTTGGGCGGGATGTTATCGTAGGAACCACGTAAAGAGCGACACCGCGGTTGGTTACCTCAGCCCCTCGAAAGGAGTGGGAAACACAAGCGAGTGATTCGACTCAGTCGTTTCATTAAAATATTTCATTTCTGCCTGAAATTCATATAGTGCTTTTCTACAGGGCCCATCTTCCTATCTTACAGGCCCTGGTGTTCACAGGGAAAGTGATCTGAAAGAATTAAAAGCATTTTTTTGGGGGTGTTGGTTCAGGGGAGAAGCCTGATCAATGTTTTTTCTCACTTTAGTTACATCAGAAGTGCCCAGCACCATGGTGACACTGCCTACAGCCTCAGACTGACATCAGGTTTGAGGATCTTCAGTAAATTAATGGGTCCTTCGACTCAAAATTCATCAACGTTTTACATCAAGTTGTTTGGACAAATTCCTGGTAATCTTTGTATCATCGGCTATTCTGTCTTTAGTCTTTTCTGCAATCATCTCGTCTGCTGCCCTGCAAAACACATACTACAGACCCTCTCCAAAGTAATTATTTTAATCAGAGGAGAGATAAAGTCTCTTTTCAAAGAAGAAACTTGTTCAGACAACTGTCAGCCACGGAAAAAACCAAACCTACTCTTCCTCTTGCTGACTAACAAGGGCATGGATTTGCTCAATTTCTGCTTTCCAGCACTGGACTTTGTGGCTATTAGACAGAGGTTTGCTGTCTGCTCATGCGGCATTTATAGCTCAACCAAATCAACCCGTCACACTTCTCCCAAGAGGGAAACTGAGAACTTCTGGACTCCCATGACAGGCATGTTGTGTAACTCTTTAAATAGCCTCTCTAGCCTTGAGATCTCCAGGTCATCCTCCTATTTGGATTGCTCACATATGACCTGAACACATCAAACCAGAAGCAATCATATCCATGTCCAGTAAGGAGGCAAAATCTGTATTAAATATCCCCATCCAAAGATTATATTAATCCTCCCAACATCAGCGTTGCACCCAGGCTTTGCTTAGACGATGCGCTGTGACTTCTCCCGAGCTCTTTTCAGACTCCTTCCCTCGAAATAGTGCCTTATTGCAGAAATCCCAGACTCACCTAGGACTGCTCACTCATGGGATGATATAAAAAAAATTAGGTCTTTCAAAGCACCTAACTAAATAAAAATACACTATTCCCCTTCTAACAACAGGAGAACGAGGTGTTAATACAACTTACGATCACGTAAGCAAACGGCTAAGACCAGAAGACGGGCAGCTTTCCTATGTTCTAGCAGGGGCGTTGCTCCGAGCAGCGTGAGCACCATGTCCCACCGCTTGCCACACGGGCTGCATATGTTAATAAGAATTCATGTAGGAAAATACTGGCCAGCATCACAATCCACAGGACGTGGCCAGTTCCACGGGGCCAAGTGGCGAGCTGAACTGCCTACGTGACACCACAGGCTGGGGGAAACGCAGTAGCTGCTTTTCAAAAACACGAGCTCACAAGCTTAGTCTCATTTTGTAGTACGCTGTGTGGTACAGGAGGATTTCTGGGCAAGGAGTAGTTTTTATTGGTAACAACCTCCTCTAATGAGAAAAAAAAAGAAAAGTAACCGTAATGAAACTTTTGGTAAAATATTTAGTCACAAGCAGCACTCTGGAGTACGCTGTGCAACATATTTGGCTCAAGTACACTTAGGATTACTAGACCCAACTGCAAAGTCTCAGAAAGAACCTCATCAGCTGAAGCATGTTCTGCTGCGACATGTTCTTTTCACAGAAGAAAACATTCATCTTCACGGGTGTCAGCTACACAAGGCCTCTGCTGGGAACACAAACGCTCACGTAAGGCCACTGAAAATACCGTGGGAGTGCAGAACACAAGGAGGCACTTAGGTTTGCAAGTCCTCGTCTCCGTCACCAAACGCTTCCTGATTTAAGACGAGGCATGAAGAAAGTAAAAAGAAACCAGTGCTCTATCCGAGCGCTTCAAGACCAGGTAAGGTACCTACACGTCACATCTAGTTAGTGAAGATAATGAACACAAGTTCAGCTTGCTCCCTCCCCCCTTCCCACATCCCAATTCCTAGAGGACCGTATCACAGTGCTCTGTGCTTTGCCATGGCTCCAGGACGTTCGTCCGACGTGACAGCGTGACCCGTGTGCTGTGCCCATCGCTAACTCCTCGTCACCAGGCTGCCGCCTGCCTTCCGAGCTCCGGCCAGAAACGGAGGAAGTTCCCACCCTGGATACATTTCTAAAGCACCTCCCAGCCAAACCCCACGCAAAGAGTTACACTTGAGCAGGAAGGACGTCAGACCCAGGAATCCCAGCTTCAAACAGGTGATTCCGGCAAGCGATTGACGGGATTTCTAACCAACCAGAGACCTGAGAAATCAAAAGTCAGCGATGGTATCACAGTCTTCGGAATAAAGTTAGATGTGAAAAGTTCCTCCCCCCAGCCCCCGGCTTAAACTACTGCCACAGTCTGACAACTGTAACAATGTCACTGAAGTTTGGACTTGGAATTCTGCAGGTGGAATGAATTTTCTAGGATAATACACATGTTCATAAATGGTCAAATTTATCACTTTACAGGTAACTTAGACATAGGTCTGCTATAACATTACAACTTGAGTCAACTTGAAGCTACACTGGAAGAGATTAAGCCTGAATTTCTGCAGAAATTGGCAATAATGTGTTCAGCAGCAGCTTTTAGCCACGTATCAAGAAGTCTGACAGGATCTGGATTTCTCTACTCCTGCTGTAAACTTCTAGTTAAAAAAACCAAAAAAACCAAAAAAACCCCAACACACAAAAGTTACTCAAATGAAAACGTCTTTTTGCACATCACTGTAACATGAGCTGCTTGAGGTTGTCGTGAAGGATGGTATCCTTAACATCGCGGAAAACTAGCCGGATGTTCTCTGTGTTAATAGCAGTGGTGAAGTGGTGGTAGAGGGGCTTCTGCTGCTGGTCCCGGCGTTTAGTACGAAAACAATCCACCAGGAATTTTTGGACATCCGTTAAGCAGTGGGGATCCCCTTCAAACTCTGGAAAATAGTCTTTGATGCTCACTTTTTGTACTTTTTCCTCAAGCAAGTCCGTCTTATTTAAGAAGAGAATGATTGAGACGTTGCTGAAAACCCGGTTATTGACTATTGTTTCAAAAATGTTCAGGGACTCTGTAAGGCGATTTGTTTGCCGATCCTCCATCAGCACTTGGTCAAATTCACTCGAGGAAACGAGGAAGAGTATCGACGTGACGCTGTCGAAGCATTCGAACCAACGTTTCCGCTCGGACCTTTGGCCACCTACATCAACCATTTTGAAAGGAACATTTTTTATTTCAAAGTCGTACTCGTGAATCCCTTTTGTGGGTCTTCGTGCCAGCAATATATCTTGCTGTGAGGGAAGGTAATCCTAAAAAAAAAAAAAAAAAAAATATAAAGGAGAGTTTGTTGATTAGGATACAAGTCACAGGCAGGGGGATCACAGCTGATTTGCGATTGAAAGACTATTGGCAGAGCAACCCCACGAGATTTGGAATGAACATACACATTTATGTGTATTTACATGCAAACACTGCAGCATTTTAGAATGATCTAGAGTCCACGTGTCTTGACTGTGGGCCACACCTGTGAGCTCACACAGCCCAAAGTTTGTGACTAGTAGAACAGGAGAAGAAATGGGCAGCTGAGGACAGCAGCCCCTTTCCGGAAGCAGAGCCTGGGAGGGCACCCGAGACAGCTGTATCCTGAAGTTTTCCAGCCTGCCTTTTTCCCCGAGAAATAAACAGGAAGGAGAAACAGTTTTTTTCCTTTTTTTTGGCTAGGAGAAGAACAGTCATCATCAAGAGATGCAGATGCTAACGGGAAGCGGAATTCTTATTAGTCGGCTTTCGACAGTATGGAATTCAAGGCTCGTACTGGGAATTTCTTCATTCTTAGAATTATGCTTTCGCGTATGGTCCAAGTCTTTCTGCTGTTTAAAAAGTGCACCAGAGAGCTGGCTGATGCTGAAGTTTAGAGCTTTGTTGTGGAAACTCCTCCTTACAGTTTTCCAGCATTTCTCATACCTTCAGAGTGAGTTAGGTTTCAGAGCTGGAATTTTAGTCTCCTCTTAATGAATGATCTACGATCTTCCTCTGACAGTGCCAGTTACCAGGCTTGGAACTTCAGTAAGGATGTGTAAAACCATGATCCAGAACATCTGACTGAACTTACTAATAAGCTGGGGCGGGGGGAACAAACACACAAGTACGTGGCATTTCAAATACCATATTCCAAGTTTAAGGCACTTGGGCAAGTTTGCTCCGCAGCCTTTAAGAAAGCAATTTTTAAAATCATGAACTGAGCGCAATGTTCTAAAAACTCGAGGATCACTTTGCTTTTACTGTGTAAGCTCAAAAGTGAAACTAACTCGAGAGAGACTGTTTGGTTTGAAGTCCTGGGTTTCTTTAGTCAGGTTGCCCAGGACCAAGGCCCTGATTTTTATCGTGGCACAGCAGCTCTCGGAAGCCCAGGCTCCCTGCCCTGCCCTTTTTGCTGCAGTGCTGTCACACATCCCAAACCCACACCACCTCCACGGGCAGGAGAGCTGAAGTGCTGCAGCAGGACCACGGTCTCTCCAAACCCAGCAAGAGACACGTGCTGCCACCCCCTTGTCTGATGAAAAGAAGCAACTTTAAAGGGTAGTAAGATTTTTCTCCTTGTTACATTTATGTTGAGTCTCTTCTACCAAAACTTGTTAGAGGGAGAACAGAGGAACAGAGCAGTGACTGTATCAAATGTCACTGGGCACATGTGAAGGGATTTTGAGTAAAGCTGACTGTCAACGTGCGGGAAAGAGAATGTCACAGGTTCAACACTTATTCCATCTTTCAAGCAGGGAAGTATAATCTTCTGTTATTCAGGAAGTCAGCCTCGAGTTCTCTGAACAGAACCAGAAAGTCTTAGGAAAGCGCAGGAGTGATTTAAATTATTAAAAGTAAATAAATAGAATCAACTAATATAAAAGGCAAAGCCATATGTACCTTCAATATTGAAAGCAGAGCACAAAGCAAACAATTCTGAGAGTTGGCCTGTAACACTGACTCAGTAAAGCTTTCAAGAACAAGGAGCTGAGCCCTAGAACTCCTGACAAACTCCCTCTCAAGCAGCACTCGTTCAGAATTCCTTCCACACCTGCAACCACAAATCAAATCCTTTCAAGTGCTTTCAAGTTCCACATGCCCAGAAGACTGACCGTGTTCTGTACCAGATAACGGCTATTCTGATGCAACAACCTGCAAACGAGCGCCCTGGAGTCAGGGGCTCCGGGTACAGCCCTCGTTTGGCTACAAGAAACTAAACACAGCAACTCCTGTAACATCTCCCCCCAGCATTTTAGCTACCTTGCTGAAGGAGGAGTGTTTGCTCCCTCCTGCTCAGCTCCCTGGGATACTGCAGCGATTCCAAACTAACCCCTTTTCACTACTAATCCCATTCTGCAGATCTGAAGAACACAGCAGGAGGGGAATATTGCCCCAGGTCGGCACTGAGCAGTTTTGCCACTGGCAGTTGGTGCTTTTCCTGCAAGCACCCCGCCAAGACCACTCTCCTTTTCCACACTTTGTCCCATTCTTCCACGTTGACTGCTTTCTTTTCCATTTTTTTTTGTTTGTTTGTTATTTGCAGAGGGAAGTTTGCTGCTTTTTTCGTTTTCTCTTCTGTTCAGTTTTTCCCAAGGCTCTATACTCTGTTGACTTGGAACATGTGTTTTCCTCCTGCATGACCTCCTTCCTCAAATTGATTACAGTCCATTTTCTTCTAAATGACTTCTTTTGGTTATCAGGTAGCTCTTTTGGCTATCACATCCCTGTTTGCCAGTTAAAATTTGGATTTTGGTCATGCCTTAAATTCTATCACAACACAGGAAGCAACGTCTCCGAGATATTTTGAATACACGCAGTCTGCGCTGGCGGATGAAAAACCAACAAACAGTTGCAAGGAATCCAGCTGATCCCACATGTACATGCCAGCCAGTTCCTCTTATTTTGCCAGTCTGATAAAATCTGAACATTAGGTTCTTTTCCCT